TTTTGTTTTTTTCCCAAGTATTTTTTTCTTCTCACAAAAGTAGCAAATTTAAGTACCACACACTGGAGTCATGAAGTATTTGTTGTTTTGTGACATTTTATATTGTTTTATCATGCATGATATATCATGTTATATGCTGGTCAACATCTTTTATTTTATTATTACTTAATATCCCTTGGACATCTTTTGGGTCACTGTATACAGATCTATGAGGTTGGTAGCACTGTTCTTATTTTAAAGTTGCAAAAACGGAGGCTTGGGCTAAATAATTTGCCTGGAGTCATGGAATTATTTCATGCTTGAGCTGGATTTGAACCCATGTCTCCCCAGTTCTGAAGCTATTGCTCTTCACACTCCCCGAGATCTGCCTGCCACCATGGGGAGGAGAGGGGCTCTCTGGGTTGCCCTAGTTCTGCTGCAGGAACCTGGTCCCGCTTCTCTGCACCTGCGTGTGCTGGACAGTGGGAAGGGTCTAGCTGCATCCTACACACTTCTGCATCTCCCTGGGGCAGGGCAGGACTGGGCAGGGGTGATGCTGCATCCTTCAGTGTCCTCAAAGGCCGCAGGTGCCTCTGCGCCAGCCAGGAGCAGGCCAGTTGGAAGGAGGACCTGAATCTGCTGCCCTGGCGATCATCTAGTAGAGGCTGCCCCCAGCTGAGCCCAGCAGGTGTGAGGACCAGAGAGAGGAGCAGCCAGGAGTAGAAACAGATGCTTTTGTTCCGGTAAACTTTGTAGGAAATAGTTTAAGCACACACGAACGTTATAAAACTAGAGCAGATATCTTTGTACCCAGGGCTCAGCTTTGTGCGACTTTCATGTTTGGCAATAATTGCTTCAGACACACACACACACACACACACACACACACCCCTTCTCTCTCTCCCTGTCTCAAATCATCTCAGGCACAATATAAGCCTCTTCCCCAATCCCATTTTCTTCCCTCTCTAGATGAAATTAGCATCTTGGTTTTGGGGCTCTCCATGCATGTGTTTATTTATTTTGGCTGTGTTGGGTCCTCGTTGCTGCGCACGGGCTGTAGGCGCGAGGGCTTCAGTAGTTGTGACACACAGGCTCAGTAGTTGTGGCTCGCAGGCTCTGGAACGCAGGCTCAGTAGTTGTGGCACGTGGGCTTAGTTGCTCCGTGACATGTGGGATCTTCCCGGACCGAAGCTCGAACCCGTGACCCCTGCATTGGCAGGCGGATTCTTAACCACTGCGCCACCAGGGAAGCCCCCGTGCATGTGTTTATACCTTCACTACACTTGGATATGTACATTACAGAAAACCTTATATAAGGTATGTATTATTCTATAGCTTGTTTTGGGGTTCAGCATTGTTTTGCGGCCTGTCCATGTTGGTACGTGTAGCTAAAGTTCACTAACTTTACTGCTTTAGCATTTCACCGGATGCTTAGAGCAATTTATACTTTCTCCTGTTGATGGACATCTAGGTTGTTGATTTTTTGCTATTAAAAACAGCTCCGGAGTGATCATTCTTGTCTGTGGCTTCATGCGTATGTGTAAAGTGACTCTCTAAGATCTTTACCTAGGAGTGAAATTGCTCCGTTGGAGGATGCATACATACATTCTATCTCCCCATTTAAGAATTCAACATTTTTGCCAATCGCAAGGGAGCGAAATGGCATGTGACTGTCTTAATTTGCATTCCCCTATTAGTGATGAGATTAAGAATTGTTTCATCCATGAATTTCCTTTTGTATTTTTCTCCCATAAATTGTCTAGCTGTACGTTTTGCCATTTTTTGCCTGTTGGATTGTCTTTTTCATATATTTGTAACAGTTGTATATTTGTTCTGGATAGTAATCCTTTGGTAGTTATACCTATTGCAAATATCTCCTCCAGGTCTGTGGGTTCTTTTCATTTGTTTATTATTATGTCCTTTGATGTGCATGCATTTTAACTTTAATGTGATCAATAGATCAATCTCTTCCTGTAAGGATTTTTATTCTTTGTGATAAGAAATCCTTCCCTGTCTTAAAGCCATCGAGATGGTCTCTTAGATTTTTCTTTAAACACTTTCAAGTTTTAATTTAGGTCTTTAACTCATTGGAATTTATTTTCCTGTAAGGAGGTAGATGGGGCTATGCTTTTTTCATGTGAGTAACTAAGCCAGCTCCTTTCCTGGACACCCATTTTTTCCCCCGAACCTGCATAGACACTGTCATGTCTAAGTTTCCAGAAATTTTGGGGTCTGTTTCTAGGCTCGCTCTTCCAATCCTCTGGTCCATCCATCCATCCCTATATCAGCACCACGCTGGCTGAATTCCTAGAGCTTTATAGTAAGTCTCCTCCCACGTTATTCTTCCGAATTGTTTTAGCTATTCTTGATCCTTTGGAATCTTGATTTTTTTTAATCTTTTTTCTTAATTACCTGAGTAACATATGCTTATAACAGAAAATAGAGGTAAGTTTGGGGTGAAAAAAGATTATAAACAGCAGGCTGATCTCATCACCAATATTTCTCAAATATACGTCTAAGTTACTGCAGGAGGCTTCTTACTCTGTCACAGTTTTGTTACCTACTTTTTGCATTTAACGTATTTTGTCATGTCATCAAGTGTTTTGCTCTAACATGTTTTCATTGTTTCATAGTATTCTATCATCTGATCATTTAATAGGTATTTACCAATCACCCAGTAACAGGCATCTAGATTGTTTCCAATTTTCCTGGGGTATAAATAACACCGTGATGAACGTTCCTGTGACTAAACCTTTGTCCTAGAGTCTTTCCTTGACAATTGCCAACCTCCCTCCTACTTCCTCTCTCTCCTGGCTCAGCCCAGTTCAGCAAACCTTTACTCTACCTTCGGTATTCCGGGCTCTGCACAGAGACTGGGATGAATCTGGAGTGGTCCCCATCCTGTAGGGCTCCCAGTCTACCCCCATCCCCACCCCTTGGTGGTCTCTTGCCCATGAGCTTTACCTGGTACAGCCAGGGTGAACCCCACCTCACTGGTGGGTGTCAAGCCCTGACCTCCAGGAGGGCACAGTCTGTAGCTTTAAACAGTGCATCTGTTCTGGAAGAAGGAGGATTAGCTGGACTGGAGCTCAGAGGACAGCAGGGCATGGGGCCTTTTTGTCTTTCTCAGCCACCTCGATTTCAACCCTTTAATCTTTGCCCTCTATTCAGGATCCTCTGCAAATTCTCCATCTCTTGGGGCAGAGATCTGATCTGACCCGACTCCCCATCACCCTCCCGAGATTGCCCTCTGAGAGCCACAAAAGAACACCTGAACTCTCCACCTGAGAGCTTATTTTTTTCTTTCTTTTCTTCTAGACTGTATTTATTTTAAATTCTGTACTACTTTTCAATCACAAAGGTAAGGCATGCTGGTAAAAAATTCCAGTTTCCTTTCATCCTGCCTCCTATTCCCACTCTAAGAGGGAGCCGTTCCCCAAGTTGGTCAGGGTTTATCAGCATGGGATTGTATTTATTTATTATTCTGGCTCTCGCTTTTTTCCAAAATGGCATTACATACAGAGCTCCTTTATTCTGCTGAAAAGGCCCTGTTGTATTCTAGAGGCTTCTTTAAGGGACCAGGATCTGCTTTCTGCCTGCCTCCTTTGTGCCTGGCCCCACCTAACTCTGCCCCATTGCCAGGTGTCAGGGCAGGCGTCTTGGGTGCTTTTTCTCCTTCCGTTTCCTTCCTTCGTGCTCAGGTTCTGCACTCTTTTCATCTACCCATCGACTGCCTGTTGAAGTCAGGATTGCTGTCGGGGGCCAGGTCTGCATCTGTCTTAGCCTCATTCCACAGATGGGGGAACTAAGGCTTAGAGAGGTGAAGTCATCTGCCCAGCGTCTCTCCATTGCTGAGTGGCAGAGCCCAGGCTGGCCCGGCTGGCCCTCTCCCTCCAAGCTCCTATCACCATTCTTCCTTGCTCTCCACCTGCCTGAGATCCCCCCCACAGGCTGTCGGGGAAACCTCACTCTTGTGACTTCCTGATAGTCCTGAGAGCTTGGCAGGGCATCTGTTACCACGTGCATTTTATGGATGGGGAACCAAGTCTTGGCTGCTGGAGGCACCTCTCCCTCCCTGCTGGCTGTAGGCAGGTACTGCCAGGACCAGGGAGTGTCTGTAGTGGTGCCAGTGGGAAGGGAGGTGTCAGGGTGGGTGGAGGCCTGGATCACGTGCCCCTTGGTACCTTGACCACCTTATACAAAATGTGGGCACATCCATGACAGATTCTCTGTTCCCTTCCTGACGGGGAAACGGAGGCCCCAGCAGAGAAGCTGTTGCACACCTCTGCTAGGGGCAGTCCTGGCTGCGGAGGACCGGAGGCCTCAGTGCAGGGAAGGGATGAATGCACTGCCTACAGGAAACTTCCTGAAAAGGGAACTCTCCGTAACTAGGAAAACAGGCCCCTTTTCCCTTATGGTGCTTTCCTGACCACCCCCAGGTGTGCCCTGGGGCAGCTGTCAGCTGGGATCTGCTCCATCTGAGTGGCTTCCTAGAAGTGCTACTTGTCAGCGCTCCACCCCAGAACTGGGTTTGAAGGTGGCCTCTAATCCCTGACAGGCAGTGTGAAGTTGGGCACGTGACTTCTCTCCCCAAGCCTCAGTTTCCGTATCTATAAAATGGGCATGAGGAATATTATTCAGCCTAGAAAAGGAAGGAAATTCTGGCACCTGCTAAGACATAGATGAACCTTGAGGACATTATATTAAGTGAGAGAAGCCAGTCACAAAAAGACAAATATTCTATAATTCTACTTGTATGAGATACCTAGAGTAGTCACATTCATAGAGATAGAAAGGAAAATGGTGGTTGCCAGGGGCTGGGGAGGTGGGAATGGGGAGTCGTGTTCACAGGAACTGGGAGGGGACCCAAAGCTGCCTCAGCTTCCTCCCTTGCCCCGCCCATCTGAAGCTGTGGCCCCACCCACCACCCAGGCCCCGCCCTTCCCCGCCCCACTTCTTCCCCATCCCTCCTCAGGTGCTCTCTTGATACCTTTATTGAGCACCTGCTGTGTGCGGTAGACCCTTGTCCTCCAGCAGCATCTGGAGGAAAGGCTGAAGATTGATGACACCAGTGCAGACTGCCTGCTGCCCTACTCTGTCCTAAGTGCTTTAGAAGCTTGGGGTCCCCTGGGCTCTTCCGGGCAGCCCTGCGGGGAATCTGCCCCTGACATTTGTGAAGAACCTGAGGCTGAGAGCCAGGGAGGACCCTGCCCGAGGCCAAGGCAGCAGCAGAGCCCTGGCCTGCACCCAGGTCACATGCTTTCGGCTGCTGGCTGCCCCCTGTCACCTCCACTCCAGAGGGGCTGCCCCGACCACCTGGCCGTCTCCTCTTGGGGCCAGTCGTGGGGAAGGCACGGTCCCTGGCACCCTGGGGACTAAAGCCTGGGCTTTGGCACCTGCACCTTCTTTCCAGATTTCCCCGAAAACGCCATCAGAGAGGGGCAGTGACTTGTCCAGAGCCCCACAGTGAGTTGGTGGCAGAGGTGAGGCAGAAACACGGTGCAGCTAAAGGGTGACCCCTCCCAGACAGGTCCCCCACACGAGGCCGGGCCTGCCCTTCTAAGCTGTGTGACCTGGGCCCCTGGCTCTGCCCCTCTGAACCTCTGAGGCCTCCTCGGCACAGTGGAACGGGCGCCGGCCTGGGCTGAGGAGGCACCAGCAGCCTCGGGGGCCAGCACAGGACCGTCGCCTGCACGAAGCCCTTCTCAGCAGGGAGGTGGCATCCATCTCTCCTGCCATAGCCATGGCTGCCCCCTGCCCTGACTTGAGTCTAGTTATTTGGACACTCCTCTGTCTCTCCCACCCCTCCCCACATGCTCACACTGGCCCGAGAGCCCCCTGGGGCAGGGGCGTTTTATTGGTCACATTTATTACCCATAGAGGAACGGGCCAGGGGCTGAACGGAGAGCTTAGAGCGTGCTTCAAGACAGGTGTTTGGGGGCCGGGGGGCAGGAGGAGCCAGACACGCTCGGTGGATGGGACTGTCTCCTACCTCTTGGAGTCTCAAGGTCCCTCACCTGTGACGGAGCTGTGGACAGTTCCCACCTCAGACCCAGAAGGAGTTAGGAAGGCAACAACATAAGCAAAGCCCCAGGACAGCAGGGGCCCGGAGACAGCTCCTCACCGGGAGAGGCTGAGTGTTCTCCAGTACGTGACACACCCACTCCCCCGAAACAGTGAGGTTGCAACCACATCCTGCCTGGTCATCAGCTGCCCCCACCCCCAGCGCCTGGCATCCTGCCCTGGCAGCCTCGTCCTGACTCTCCAGGGGCAGGCTGTTGCACATTCTTGGGCCCTCCGTCCTGGCCCCTCCTACCTTCCGGCCCCCAGTCTTTGGGCGCCTGCCTGGATGTGGCCAGGAAGGGAGGGAGGAGTGTCGGGGTGTCTTTCAGCTGGGGGCCGGCTGCGTGATTCAGCAGGCCCTCCCCTGGACAGCTGCTTGCCCAGGAGTGTGGGTGGTGTGAGGGGCCAGCTGGTCATTAGAGGGCCCGGGCCTTCCTGTGGGGCAGGCTCTCACCCTGGCCTGTGAGTCCCGGCCTCACCAGGAGGGCTGACCCCTGGGCTGGAGCCGCCGGCTCAGGGCAGGTGGTGGTGGTGTCTGCTGGCCTTGCGGTGACCTGAGCTCTGGGAACCCCGCGGGGGCAGGGAAGCTGAACTCCTGGACTCTATCTCTTGGCCCTGCCCTGCGTGGGGCCTTGGGCAGGTGGACGGCGAGGCTGTGCAGTGGTGAGGATCTGAGTGGGGAGGTGGAGGGACAGGCCTGAGTTGGATCTCGGCTCTGGCCCTGAGTAGTAGAGTGACGTTGGGCAGGTGACTCTCCCCTGAGCCTCAGTCATCCCATCTGTGAAATGGGACCAAAGATAGACCCTGCATCTGGATGTCAAAGGGACCCCACGAGGAGGATTCCACGGTAAGGACCAGCCCGGTGCCTGGCACACGTTCTCTGTTGAGCACCTCTATTCCCTCAAGGGGTCTAGGTTTGCTTTCCTCCTGTCCTCACCCGTCCCGGCGTGCCCGAGGAAGATGAGATGGGAAGCATCTGGTGTTTGCAGGGAGGCCCTGTTTTATGAAGTGTTTGTTACTTACTATTGTCACTATTAATATTATAAATAATCAAAATAATGTGGCCCCGTCCCATAACCTGGGCACCCTTGTGCCTCTCCCAACAGAAACAGACCCATTTGTCAAAACACAGGTATTTAGGGACCTCCCCAGCAGCCCAGTGTTTAGGAATCTGGGCTTCCACTGCAGGGGGCATGGGTTTGATCCCTGGACAGGGAACTAAGATCCCACATACTGCGCGGCACAGCCACAGAAAAAAAAGTGAGTTCATACTAAGCCCCCTCTTCTGCATTTGGCTTTTCTCACACTTTGAATAAATCTCTTCGGACCACTGGCGCAGCTTCGTGGCAGCTGGTTCCGAGTGAACTGGAAGTTTTCAACTAGCCCCTCTGGTTGGTCTGATCATTAGCAGGATGGGGTCTAGACAAGAATTCAGGAATGCTCCTGCTGAAACGTGGGGGTCCCTGTGAGGCTGCTTTCGCAGTCTGTCAGCGTGACCTGGATCTCAGTGCTCAGCCTTCCTGTCTATGGAATGGGGAGGCTGCCTGCCTTCCCTCTGGTGGTTTCCCAGCCACCTGGTGAACATACGGTTTCTGGACAGACGCCGATCCGTGGGCTGGCCCATGAGTGTTGCCCAGCTAGTGTGAGTCACAGCTAGACTTGAGGTAGAGTTTTGGACAGTGGGTCCACTGTCTCCTGCCTCTGATCCCTGGGTTTCAGAAAGCCAGGCCACCCTGTAGTAACCCCCTCCCGTGGGTCCCTTTCAGGTTGAACCATGATTCCGGTGACAGAGCTCCGCTACTTTGCGGACACACAGCCAGCGTACCGGATCCTGAAGCCGTGGTGGGACGTGTTCACCGACTACATCTCCATCGTCATGCTGATGATCGCGGTTTTTGGCGGCACGCTGCAGGTCACCCAGGACAAGATGATCTGCCTGCCGTGTAAGTGGGTCACCAAGGACTCCTGCAACGACTCATTCCGGGGCTGGGTGGCCCCCGGCCCAGAGCCCCGCTACCCCAACTCCACCGTCTTGCCCACCCCCGACACTGGCCCCACGGGCATCAAGTATGACCTGGACCGGCACCAGTACAACTATGTGGACGCGGTGTGCTACGAGAACCGCCTGCACTGGTTCGCCAAGTACTTCCCCTACCTGGTGCTTCTGCACACACTCATCTTCCTGGCCTGCAGCAACTTCTGGTTCAAGTTCCCTCGCACCAGCTCGAAGCTGGAGCATTTTGTGTCCATCCTGCTCAAGTGCTTCGACTCGCCCTGGACCACGCGAGCCCTGTCGGAGACGGTGGTGGAGGAGAGCGACCCCAAGCCGGCCTTCAGCAAGATGAACGGCTCCATGGACAAGAAGGCGTCGACGGTCAGCGAGGACGTGGAGGCCACCGTGCCCATGCTGCAGCGAACCAAGTCTCGGATCGAGCAGGGCATCGTGGACCGCTCGGAGACGGGCGTGCTGGACAAGAAGGAGGGGGAGCAGGCCAAGGCGCTGTTCGAGAAGGTGAAGAAGTTCCGGACCCACGTGGAGGAGGGGGACGTCGTGTACCGTCTGTACATGCGGCAGACCGTCATCAAGGTGGTCAAGTTCGTCCTCATCATTTGCTACACCGTGTGCTACGTGCACGCCATCAAGTTCGACGTGGACTGCACCGTGGACATCGAGGGCCTGACGGGCTACCGCACGTACCGCTGCGCCCACCCGCTGGCCACGCTCTTCAAGATCCTGGCGTCCTTCTACATCAGCCTGGTCATCTTCTACGGCCTCATCTGCGTGTACACCCTCTGGTGGATGCTCCGGCGCTCCCTCAAGAAGTACTCGTTCGAGTCCATCCGCGAGGAGAGCAGCTACAGCGACATCCCCGATGTCAAGAACGACTTCGCCTTCATGCTGCACCTCATCGACCAGTACGACCCGCTCTACTCCAAGCGCTTTGCCGTCTTCCTGTCGGAGGTGAGTGAGAACAAGCTGCGGCAGCTGAACCTCAACAACGAGTGGACGCTGGACAAACTGCGGCAGCGGCTCACCAAGAACGCGCAGGACAAGCTGGAGCTGCACCTGTTCATGCTCAGCGGCATCCCCGACACCGTGTTCGACCTGGTGGAGCTGGAGGTGCTGAAGCTGGAGCTGATCCCCGACGTGACCATCCCGCCCAGCATCGCGCAGCTCACGGGCCTCAAGGAGCTGTGGCTGTACCACACGGCCGCCAAGATCGAGGCGCCCGCCCTGGCCTTCCTGCGCGAGAACCTGCGGGCGCTGCACATCAAGTTCACGGACATCAAGGAGATCCCGCTGTGGATCTACAGCCTGAAGACGCTGGAGGAGCTGCATCTGACAGGCAACCTGAGCGCGGAGAACAACCGCTACATCGTCATCGACGGGCTGCGCGAGCTCAAGCGGCTCAAGGTGTTGCGGCTCAAGAGCAACCTGAGCAAGCTGCCGCAGGTGGTCACGGACGTGGGCGTGCACCTGCAGAAGCTGTCCATCAACAACGAGGGCACCAAGCTCATCGTCCTCAACAGCCTCAAGAAGATGGCCAACCTGACGGAGCTGGAGCTGATCCGCTGCGACCTGGAGCGGATCCCGCACTCCATCTTCAGCCTCCACAACCTGCAGGAGATCGACCTCAAGGACAACAACCTCAAGACCATCGAGGAGATCATCAGCTTCCAGCACCTGCACCGCCTCACCTGCCTTAAGCTGTGGTACAACCACATCGCCTACATCCCCATCCAGATCGGCAACCTCACCAACCTCGAGCGCCTCTACCTGAACCGCAACAAGATCGAGAAGATCCCCACGCAGCTCTTCTACTGCCGCAAGCTGCGCTACCTGGACCTCAGCCACAACAACCTGACCTTCCTCCCCGCTGACATCGGCCTCCTACAGAACCTGCAGAACCTGGCCGTCACGGCCAACCGGGTGAGTGGCTCGTGGCGGGGGTGCTCCTGGGTGTGGAGTCTTCAGCTGTGGTTCCCAGGACCCCCTGGGAGGAGCTGGTTGAAAATACAGATCCCCAGGCCCCGGACCAGACCTGCTGAATCAGAATCTGTGGGCTTGGGAGGCCGTCTCTGCCGCAGAACGTGGCAGAGTTCACCTGCCAGGAGGGATGGTGTGGTCAGGCGGGGCCTGTCCCCGAGGTGGCCTTGGGCGGGTTCCTCGAAGGCAGTGATGTGCACGGGCAGGAGGTCCACGGCCTGCCCTGCTCTCTCAGAGCTCGGTCGTCGGAGGTGGGACTTGGCCTGGAGCTTGCAGTGTCTTTCTCAGCTTGTCCTGGACCAGATTTGGAGCCCAGGATGGGCCCACCAGGGACAGAAACTTTGTGGGTGACTGGCACAACTCCCACCGCCACTCACACCCTCCGCCCTCTGTGTTTCGAGGGTGGCAGAGGGCAGAGTTGAGCTTAGCTGGGGCTGGTTTGTTACCACTTGCCTTTCTGGAGTGGAAATTGTGCGAACCGTTGTGGGCCCGTGGTACTGGAGGCCACGCCCGGGAGACGATCGAGACCTCTGGCGGCTCCCGTGCACCAGCCCCTTGCCTGTCTGGACAAGCCACCCACCCAAGGGCCCCTCCGCGGAAGCAGGCAGGTGAGGGTTGAGGGCAAGTGGTCCTGTGGCCTTGTGGCCTGGCCTCTGCCGTGGAAACAAAGCCACAGCTGCTGGGGGGACCTCTCCCTGCCCTGCCCACCCCTTCTGGGGCCCTAGAGGGAGGTTGATATTGGAAAGAACGTCTTCCCGGTTTGTTCCTACTCCGAGTGGAAACCCTCTTGCAGTGAAGAGGGTGGTATCAGGGTGGACACTCTCGCAGCGAGGCTAGGGGTTATGGAAGCCCGTGGCCGGGGGCTGGGATGCTGAGGGAGAGCCAATCCAGCCAGCACCTCTGCGCCCCTGTTGCCGGCAGCAGCATGAAGCCGCCCCGTGGGCTTATGGAGCTCCTGCTCTGTGTCCACCCTGCGCTGGGCACCCTGCTCCCGGCACCCTGTGAGTCCTCCTGGCAGGAGCTCTCTGCAGCAGCCTGGAGGCAGGCAGCCCCTGAAACGTCCCGTTCTAGGAAAGGACATGCCTTCTCCAACATCACCCAGGTTGGAGGGTCCAGGCACCCCAGACCTCTGACCACCAGAACCCCTCCCGTCTTCCCTAAGCCTCTCTCCCTATAAACCACGGAGATTTTGACAAATCCTTTCTCCCTCCCTCAAATTATACCTGTGTGCATGTGTGAGAACGTACAGGGGTGAAGGTCAGATCCCAGGCTGCTTCACTCTGGAGAATCCGCCTCCAGGGCCTGGGACAGGCCCACTGGTCAGGAAAATTGGCCTCCCGGGGAGAAGCCCCATTTGGGGAGCATAGGACAAACACACACCTCCTTTAGCATGTTGAGGGGGACCAAGTGGCCCCCCCCCCCCGGAGCACAGTGCGGGGCCAGATTGCCCCTGGATTCGGGGCTGCCTTGGGCATCCCAAGAACCCCTCGTGGTGCCCACTCTGTCCCGGGAGCTGTGTGGGCACCAGGTCTTGATGGGCCTTCCCAGCCAGTGGAGGGTGGAGGGTACAATTCCCGACCTGTCCCCACCCCCAGCTCCTCACCCCAGGCATGGCTGCCAGGTCATGCCTGTTGGCTGAGGTCATCCCTCAGGAAGAGCTGGGGGCAGGCACGCTGTCGCTGTCCCTAGGAAGGAGACCCTCTGACACCCAGTTCAGCACAGTGCTTAATCATGTCCTGTCCCCGCCCACTGGAATGCTAGAGGCCTTTGTAGGGAAAAAAGTTCGCTTGGGCCAGTCCTAGTCAGGCTCCTCCTTTTAGGCAGGAGCCCCCCTCCCTTCCTCCCTCTGGGCCTGGCGGTTCCTTGTGAGCCACCCCGGGCTATGGGCTTCATGTGAGTGGACAGGCAGGGGCGAGTGTGGCCCGGCTCAGGCCCTCGGCCTCTGTTTTCTTAGGTTTAAACTCATGTTAGCGAACACCTCGATAAGTGGGCGTCCACTTGTTTGGTTATTCATTGGTTCATTGATTTGGGGAATGTTTTTTGAGCACTCCTAGTGTGGAGCAGGGAGCTGGGGACCTAGGAACAAACAAGCGGCTGCCCATCCTGAGCTCACCTCTCTCAGGGAAAGACAGGCAACCAGCATTTAGCACAGTGGAGGAGACTAGGCTGGGGCACAGCGGAGTGGCCTCAACCCGGACTTACCCCAGGGCAGGCGGGCCTCCTGGAGGAGGGCGCATCTCATCTGGCCCTGCAGGACAAGGAGTTAGCCAGGTGAAGAGGAAAGGGAGAGTCTAGGAGGCTCTGTCCACAGAGAGCTGAGAGCCCAGGGGGAGGAGCAGTGAGCTGAGCCCCTGGAATTTGGACTTTCCCCTGAGGCCAGGGCTTGAGGAGCGTCCTGTCCTGCCCACTTGGTTTCAGATAATCTGTCTCACGTCCCTTCCCTCGACCCTCTGACAACAAGGACCTTGGCTCTTTCGTTCAGTGCCTGACGTGGAGCAAAATGTTCACCGAATTCCCATTGACTGAGCGACGACGAAGGCATTAGGCTGCCTTGGAATTTAGAGAGCTCGCTCCTGCTGCAACTCGAGGGTATTGGGGGTGGGGCAAGATGAGAGGTCAAGAGTGGATGGAAAGCCCGTGGGCAGCCATCAGGCGGGGGCGAGGCCTGGACTGGCAAGGGCTGCCAGGGATGGCGAGACGGACGGATGTGGGGGAGACTTCGGGGGTGGAATCCACAGGACATGGGCGGGATTGGATGTGGGGAGAGAGAGGTCTGACGTGACTCGAGGTTTCTCACGTGGCTGCCTGGGTAGCTGGAGGGTCATTGAGGCCAGGTGTGGGACAAGGCACAGGTTTTCAGAGAGGAGAGTGTAGGTCCCATATTGGGACATCCAAGGAACCAGGTTGAGTCAGCCTGAAGCCCAAGGAGTCATCCCCCTAGGCTCCTGGGTGAAGATGGGTCCTCGATGAGGTCACGGGGGAAAGGATGGAGGGAAGGGGAGTCTGGCTCGAGCCTTTGGGATTGACGGCGACGAGCCGGGCCAGGCAGGAGCGGGTGGGCACACAGCCCACGGGGGAGTCCGGTGAAAGGAGAACTGTTGCATGTCCGGTGGATGAGGAGTGACCGCTGCTGGCTCTGGCCAGGTAGTTTCCAGGGTGGGCAGCGGCAGAAGCCAGATCACGGCGGGCCAAGGAGAGAGACGGCGTCTTTCCAAACGGTTTGTTGGGAAGCCTGGAGAGGCTCCTGGGAGGGTTGTCTCTTTTGCAAAGACCAGGTGGACTTGAGGGGGAGCCAGTGCCGACGGGGGAGCCGTTGAGGCCCCTGAGGAGGTGGGAGAGGGCGGGATTGGGGTGATGGGAAACGACTTCACACCTTCAGCGCACGAGCACACCTCACGAGGGACAGGAGTGGCCTGGGTGGGGCACTGAGCCACTGAAGGCACCTTCTTTTCTCTCCACGCGCCTGGAAAGAGCTCGCTGATGGGCTGGGGGTGCTCCGGGGAGGGGACGTGTCAGGGGGAGGGCTCCGATGTGAGCCCCAGCTCTGCCACCTGCTGGTCCAGCCTCCCACTCCCTGGCCACTGTCTGTGTCACCAGAGGAGGCCAGTGTTGGGTGCAGTGGGGTCTCTGGGAGGCTCTGGCCCGTCCGTCCTGCCGGAGCCCACTTCCCATCTGCCCTCTCACCTTCATGTCCCTGCTGACCTGGAAGCCACCTCTGCCCCATACCTGACCACTGGGCCACGTTGAAGCCCCAGGTCAGGAGTCCCCTTTAAAACAGTCACAGTGTCCCTCATGGCATGGCCTCTGCCTTCTCAGCGGGAAAATGGGGACGGTGACAGAGCAAGCTCCCCGTCACCCTCACATGGGCTCGGGCCCAAGTCCCTTGGCTCCTGCCCTGCTGGAAGGGTCCCTCCTGCCCACCATATCTGAAGGAGGTGGTTGTAGGAAAATAGGCTCAGTCAGAGCTCGTGTTTGTAGCTGATTGCTCACAGGAGGGCGGGGAGGAAGCTGGCTTTTATGGGGTTCTTCCCGTGTGGCAGGAGACATGGCAGGTCCCCACCCAGGCTGCACCATCAACAGCGTGGACATTTAAGAGCACGGACTGTTGAGCCAGGTTCGAATCTTGGCTCCACCACTCTCCAGCTGTGAACCTCTAGGCAGGCTGGCTCCTTCAGGGCCTCAGTTTTCCCATCTGTAAAATGGAAAGAGTGTTTACAAAGTACTTACAGTTAGTTCCGAGGGTTCAGTGAGTTAATAGCATCAGCGCTCAGAGCGAACCTGCCCTGTAGTAAGTGGCATGTGGGTGTTGCCCATTATTCAAATTTTGCAAAATCAGTAGGAGGGGGCTCTGAATGGCCAACACTGGGTTCCCCACACCCCCCATCAGCCTGTGACTTGACAGGTAAGGAAACTGAGGCCCAGGAAGGGGAAGTGATTGGTGAGCTCTCCCCAGTTCTCAGCAACAATTAAGGGTGTGGAATTTTCTCAGCAGGCTGCTCTGCTTTCATAAATTGCTCTTAAACCAGGCAGGACCAACAGCCTGGCTCCTGGTGAGCCCTGGGCGGTGGAGGACGGGGTGTGATTGGGAGTAGCTGGCTACTGTGATTTGCTTCTGGGGTGCTAGGCGCTGGGAGACAGCGGGGAGCACAGCACACCCAGCCCTGCCCTCTCAGAGCCCCCTGTCTGGGGGCGACAGGAGATCAAGCAGTTTGACCATGGAAGGGATCAGTGCTGTCCGGGGGACGTTGGGTGCCATAGGTTACCAGGAGGTCAGGGAGGCTTCCTGGAGGAAGTGACTGCAGAGCTGAGACCTAAAGAACAGGGGAAAGTTAGCCAGACTTGGGCCCAAATTGTGCCGGTCCCTGGGGTCTGGGGTAGCTGAAATGGGCATCAGAGAAGGTGCTGGTACCCAGGGCAGGGAAGCCCAGAGGCCCAGGTCCGAGGTGCGCCTGCCTCACTTCGCCCTCTGCTCCTTCCCTGTAGATCGAGGCGCTGCCCCCGGAGCTCTTCCAGTGCCGGAAGCTGCGGGCCCTGCACCTGGGCAACAACGTCCTGCAGTCACTGCCCTCACGGGTGGGCGAGCTGACCAGCCTGACCCAGATCGAGCTGCGGGGCAACCGGCTGGAGTGCCTGCCCGTGGAGCTGGGCGAGTGCCCTCTGCTCAAGCGCAGTGGCCTGGTGGTGGAGGAGGACCTGTTCAACACTCTGCCTCCCGAGGTGAAGGAGCGGCTCTGGAGGGCTGACAAGGAGCAGGCCTGAGCCACCACGGGCACTGAGCACGGGCTGCCCAGAACAGCCAGCAGCGGGGCCCTCCGGGGAGGCTTCAGGCCCAGGAGCCCAGGAGGCTCTGACTGACGACCAGCCCAGCCTCTCAGTGGGGGCGGGGCAGGAGCTGGGCCACAGGACCACCCCTGAAGGGCTGGCCCCTTTCTCCTCAAGACTCACGCCCCGCGCGGGGCAGGCGCCTGAGGGGGAGATCAGAGACCTGTAGTCCATCTCTGAGCACAGTATTTGGACAATCAGGGCCTCCTCCCTGGAGGCCATCTCTGCCCCAGAGGCTGAGCCGACACCAGAGGTCCAGGGACACCTACTTAGTTCTTGGTATTTATTTTCTCCGCCTCCCATCCCCTCCCTCCAGATAACTTATACATTCCCAAGAAAGTTCAGTTCCGATGGGGGGTGTCTGAGGAAGGGTGGGCTGCGTTTCCCTTTTCCTTTTTTTGGTGGTTTCAAAACCATTTAGGGCCCACCCAGCCTTGAGCCGAGCAGTCCAGGGTGAACCAGCTGTGGGACGGTCACCCCAGAGGTGCCAGGCTGGGCTCTGGTGGCACGGCCCGTGGGAAAGCAGGCCACCAGGCGGAGAGGCCAGGCCTGGGGTTTGCCGCAGCAGTTTAGATTTTTTTTAAGTAAAAAAAAAAAAAAATTTTTTTTAAGCTCTAAAAATTGATGGTTTGGGTATTAAAAAGAAAAAACTAAAAAAAAAAAACAAAGGACACTAAAGGCCAGTGAGTTGGGGTCTCAGGGTGGGACAGCAGTTCCCCTTGAGGAGAGCGGCAAGACACTGAATTGTGTTTCCTCCCCCCGGGGTGCAGGCTGCAGGATGTCTTCCGAATCTGCTGCGACCTTGGTCCAGGAGTCTGTAGTTCCTCTCCCCGCCTGGGGCGGGGATTGTTGTGTCTTGTTTTTGGTGTCTTGTTTTCTTTCTCCTCCATGTATCTTGGCAGGCTCTCATTTCTGTGACTGTTGGCCGAAGAGAATGTTCCGGAGCTTCCAAGAAGGGAGGGGACTCGGGTTGGCTAATCCCCGGATGAACGGTGCTCCATTCCCCCCGCCCCCAATCCCTTATCGCGGTGTTAAGGAGCCCAGAGGAGCCCCCTCACCTGGACTCTGTTTTCCCACCTCACGCTCACGAGTTTGACTACTGCTACTACTGGCCTCAGCCGCTGACGTCAGTCCTGTCACCACCTGGTCCTTCACAGCGGACACTTGGAGGCGGGGCCACGGGTGAGGAGGTTGCCGCCGGGGAGGGCGGGCTATCCAGGTTCTGGTTCCAGTTTCTGTCCCAGGCGCCTGGCACGTGCAGCCCACTCAGCGCCTGGCGGCGGGAAGCCAGCTCACTTTAGATCAGTCACCGGGGTCCCCGCTTTAGAAGGGTCCCCACCTTAGATCGATCACTTGGACATTAAGGCACGTTTTAGCGTCTCGTCTTAATGATTATGTCCACTCGTCCATTTGTGTTTTCTGCGTCGTGTCATTGGATGTAATCCTCAGAAATAACGCACACTAGCCTCTGACAACCATGAAGCAATCTGTTACACGTGGGTCTGAACTTGTAGACTTGGTTCAAATATCAAATAAATCTATAACAGAAAGTAGCCTCTGGAGGTCTCCATGTCATGGGCGGACCCTTCCCTCATCTGTCTGAGGCCCGCTCAGCCCCGTGGACTGGTTTGTGGAGTGACCATTTATTGGGCACCTAGAAGATAATGAACTCTGCTCCTCTGCCTGCCCCGTGATACCGGAAGCTCCTCGGAGGCAGCTACCGGACACGAGCTGGACGCAGCCCCTGTTCCACATCCGGTGTGGGCCCCACCAGGATCCCACAGCCAGCACGTTCTCTGCTGGCTGAGGCCTAAGGTTCGGGCCCTCCCGAGCTTTGATGGGAGGGAGGGAAGGGTGCTGGAATGGGAGCCAGTAGTCTCGGGTCCTTTTCCCAGCTCAGTCATCCCCTTTGTCAAACTGGGCAAGCCCCTTTCCTCCCGTGCCCTCCACATCCCCAGCTGTGCAGTGGGCACTTCCACTCTGCTCTCATCCGTCCCTTGTAATTCCAACAGCCAGTCTCCAGGGCTCTGCAGAGGCAGGACTGAGAGTCACCGTGGGCAGGCCTGACCCAGCTTCTAGCCCCTTTGGGCTGGAGGTGCTGAAGGTGTTGGGGTCAAGGGCAGAGGCTGGGGGAGATGGGCAGAGTTGTCTTCGGATTCTAGCTCTGCCATTTATTTGATGTGGACCCTCGGTTTCCTCATTTATAAAATCAGGATTGTTCTGGGGCTTACTCAGCTTTGTGATAATTTTGCTGGTAGGTGGAGTTTTTAGCAGAGGGCCTGGCTCCTGGAAATGAATAAATGATCTATCTTCCTCCTGGCCCAGCAAGGCTTGTGCTGGGCCAACGTGGGTCCTGGGGCAGGGGTCTTTTGGTGAAGAAAAAAGGTCGTTGTGGGGGGCTTCCCTGGTGGCGCAGTGGTTGAGAGTCCGCCTGCCGATGCAGGGGACGCGTGTTTGTGCCCCGGTCCGGGAAGATCCCACATGCCGCGGAGCGGCTGGGCCCGTGAGCCATGGCCGCCGAGCCTGTGTGTCCGGAGCCTGTGCTCCGCAACGGGAGAGGCCACAACAGTGAGAGGCCCGCATACCGCAAAAAAAAAAAAAAAAAGGCCATTGTGTCAGACCTTGGCCTTAACAATGAGTCCTTACCTGCTGCTTGGGCACCTCCTCTGGGACACACCAGAGTCTGTCCTTCCTCCCTACATGGGACTTTGACCCCCCAGGTGACCTCAGAAGTGAGTCAAGAGTCCCTCTCTCTTCTGCCTCTGTCGTGGGATTTTTGACTGGGAGGCCAAGCAGCTGGGCTGGGCAACCCCCTAGAACACCCTCCTTTATCTCGAGAGTAGAGGTCTTCCTCTCCTGTCTGGTCTGGTACCTCCCCACCAGTGCCCGCTGCCCTGCCTCAGGCTTGGGGTGGCCCAAGCACCGGATCTGGAGCTGGTTAGCTTTTGGAAAAAAAAAGCAATGTGGAAACACCACCCACCCACTTCCCAAAGCCTGAGTGGAATGAATGAACAAGTCGTGGGAGGCCCAGCCGTCCCCCCGCCTCCCCCCAACTCAGGGCTCTTCACTCCATTTAAAACCACACTGGTGGCCTTTTCTCTGATGATAACAGCAGTTTGGAAAACTTGGGGAAGTTCAAAAAGTAAAGTAAAAATACCCGCACATTCCACCGAGAACAGCTCCTGCTAATAACATACGGTGAACAGCCAGTGGGCACTTTCCAAGTGCCCAGGAGGTACTTCTGTTATCCCCAAAGCACAGATGGGGAAAGTAAGGCCCGGGTGTGGATGTAAGCCTTGGATGGGGGTTCCCCGAGGAGTTGCTAGCCCAGCACTACTGGACCCTCACTGTGTTCCTGGCACATGGCAGGTGTCTCTCTGGATCTGTTGGGAAGGGGCCAGGACAGCTGGGATCGCTCCCTGCCTTGAGTATTGGCTGTATTTCCCCAAAGGGTTCTGTCTTCCACCTGTCTTCCTCACCCGGCCTGTCCCCTGGGAACCTCTTCACCCTCCAGCCTCAGGAGCCTGCCGGGGCTCTCCCCTCCCCTGGCTCTCTGCTCTTGGGAAGCAGGGACCAAGCAGCTATACTCCCAGTGCGGTGGCGCAGAAAACACGACTTGACTTAGGGCCAAGGCTCCTGAGGGCTGAGCAGTGTCCCCACGCTCGCTCCTGAGACACTCTGTCCCTTCGCCATTCAGAAAGCATCATTTCAGGGAAGGCCAGTGGCGGCTGGGTTTCAGAAGCCGCAGCCAGAACGGCCCCGTCAGCTGCCGAGCAGGGCTGGTTGGAAGGGTGGGTGTTCTGACCGCGGCCTCCGCTGTGCCAGCCGGCCTCAGGCACCAGCATCTTGGGCCTGGGGGTGGGGAACAGGAACCATGGCTTCCCTCGCCCTCATTTTGAAAACCCAGGCCCCCGCTCTAGCCCCTTCCCCTTTCTAAGATCCCCCCTTATCTTCTCTCTTCCTCTGAGCTGCAGACAGATCTGTAATCCCTTCAGGACCTAGAGAGTCCCAGGGGATCGGAGCTTGGGGGGCAGGGGCGGGGGCCCAGGCAATCCTCTGAAGCCCTCTTCCACCTTTGGAATGCAGAGCTCAGAGTCTGATGTGTGTGCCCCCAGACCCACCTTGCATCCCATCCCACCCAGATGCTGCTGCTGGTGGCCTGGGCACTTTCTAACCCTGCCTCGACCCAGGGGCAGATATGGGTTGGAGGTTACAATTAGTTGTGGCACCTGGGCAGGGACTCGGGTGTCCTCCTGCCTGCCCAGACACTCCTAGGACACAACTTCTGGGCACCTCGGAAACAGCCAGCCGGGAGTGGTTTCTGCAAAGAAACTGCAAGGAGGCAGTTAAAGATCTTGTAGGAGATCAGAAATGGCTAATCCTGGATTAGCTGGGGGGATGGACCCAGGGTGTGGGGCAGAGACAAGGGCCCCACCCAAGGACAGAAGTGAGAGGGGGTGGGGTGGGTGTGTTGGGGGCCGGGAATGGGTTTTCTCTGGATGGGGGGCGGGGAGGAGCTGAAGGCCAGGATTCGGTTTTCTCTGGGCAGGGAAGGGTTAAATCCTCCTGGGCCTCTCAGGCTCTGGCCACTCTCCCCTCCTGACCTTTCTCCTCTCCAGCCTCAGGCACAGCCGCAGAGCCACCCGTGCGCCCTGCCTCGTCCTCATGGCCTACCTGAGCCCCTCACAGCTCCAGAAGGTAGGGCCCTGCTGGGTGGGTACCCCGAGGGTCAGGTAAATGTGGGGGGCCCCTCCGGACTTGGAGTAGTCCCGGGGAACTCGACCCACCCCCTTACGTTTTTCAGAAGAGGAAACTGAATCCCAGAGTGGTCGGTTCACAGCCATGACCCCTAACTTCTGCACACACAGCCAGGGGCCATTCAGGCCAACGCACCGCGGTTGGGGTGGGAATGTTTGCGTGAAGAAACCAGAAGAAAACACAGGATCCTGTGAACTGGGGGCGGGGGCGGGGGTCTGGGAAGAGGCGGGGCCGACGAGGGGCGGATCCACCCGCCCCACCCTACCCACAACCCACCTCTAGCGCGGGGCGGGTGGCCGGGCAACCACCCGGTGGGCGCGTTCAGACCCGAAAAGGCTAACCCATGGGAATCACAGCGACGGAGACTTTTAAAAAACATGACTCTTGTTGTTTGTTCCTGATGGCAAGAGGAAAATGCAAAAAAATACAGGAAAGCTCAAAAAAGAAAATTTAAACCCACCTATGGATTCCTATGCTGAGACAATATTTTGGCATACAGCCCTTGACTCTCTAAAAGTTTCAGGGGACTTCCCTGGCGGTCCAGTGGTTAGGACTCCGCACTTCCACTGCAGAGGGCACGGGTTCAATCCCTGGTTGGGGAACTTAGATTCCACAAGCTGCGCTGGGGGGCCAAATAAATAAAATAAAAGGTCCATCACAATACACAAAAGCTGTCGCCGATTGCTTGCTTGCTTGCTATATGTTTCATAAAGGAGAAACTACTGTGCTCCCCATCTGATAGCCTGAGAGTCAGAGAGGGGAAAGCACTTGCCCAGGTTCTCACAAATTAGGATACTGATTTGTAGTTGGCTTTTTTTTTTTTTAAACTCACAATATGTGTGGAACACATTCCCATGCCAATAAATATTTTTCTATCAGCTGTTTTGTATTTCAGGTAGATAAACCATACTTTGTGTGATAAGTTCACCTGTGTGCTGGTTTGTTTGATATCCATCTCCTTCCCTAGACTAAGTTCTGAGAGGCAAGCATCATGGCTGGCTTGCTCATGACTGAATCTCCAGCTCCTAAAACCATGTCTGGTGCACGGTAGATGCTCAGCCAATATTAGCTGAATAAATGAATGAGGTTGTATTCCCTGGAAGGTTAGGGCGGGGACACCTCCCCTTCCACTTCCCCTTCCTTCATTCAAGCAGCCAACACTGATTGCTCTTCACTGGGCGCTGGACACCATCGCCAGGGAGGGGGGCAGAGCAATGAACAGGATGCTTTGTCCTGCCTCCACACGGCTTATGGTTTGGGGTAGGGTCAAATCAGTTCTCATCAAGAGCGTTTGAGGGCAGGGAGAAAGAAGCCTGAGTCTGCTTCCTGCCTGCAGTTTCGGGAGGATGGATTCCTGGTGCTGGAAGGATTCTGGTCTGCTGACGAGTGTGTGGCCATGCAACGGAGGATTGGCGAGATACTGGCTGAGATGGATGTCCCTCTCCACTGTCGCACGGAATTTTCCACCCAGGAGGAGGAGCAGCTGAGAGCCCAGGTAGGTGCCTGGAGCAGGTAAGAATGAGATTTGGTCTTTGATGGGTGGCTCAGTCCCCAGCCAGCGCAGCAGCCTGGAAAGGTTAGGACCCCAAGACCCATGGGCTCATGCTGGTAACGAATCAGGCCCCAAGCTTACTGTGGGCCGGGCTCCAGGCTAAGTGTCTTATATGCGTATTTCCTTCACTCCCTACTACGAATTTATGAGGTCAGCATTATTGCCCCCATTACACAGGTGGGGTAAATGAGGCTCAGCTCACTTGCCCCAAACTACACAATTAGTAACTGATAGGGTCAGAATTTGAACCCAGATCTGCCTGATACCAAGTACATGCTGTCACTGCCCTGCTGTACTTTCTTAGAAGTTTTCCTGCCACAAAGGACCTCTTTGTGGCCAGCAAGCCGGCATGAGCCAAGCGATTCTGATGGGCCCACCTGGGTAAGTCATCCCCCAATGAGACAAGGAACTGCTTGTTTCCCCCAGTGACCTACTAGGACTCAGTACAGCTTGAGATGGGTAAGTTGAGGCCCAGGGGTTCTCCCACACAGTTCTCTTAACCCTTCATAGGCTGAATTTATGAGCCTGCCTGCGGCTGGGCCCCCAAGCCAAAGCTGTGGTCCAGGCTCAGTAATGGGGCTCACGCTTACTCATGGCAAGGAGCTTCTGCCATCTGGTGGGCATAAAGGGAATTACAATGACTAGAAGGCTTGCAACCCAGAGAATGGGGACTTCAGAAAGAAAAAGGGTTACAGAATGACACTTTCCTCCAAACAGTCGGTTTCATTTGGCTGCACTGGTATTCAGTAAACCCTCAATATTCACTACTGATACTGTGAAAGACTTTGAAATGGGTTTTTAAATAATTAATTAATTTTTGGCTGCGTTGGGTCTTCGTTGCAGCGCGCAGGCTTTCTCTAGTTGCGGTGAGCAGGGACTACTCTTCGTTGAGGTGCACAGGCTTCTCATTGCGGTGGCTTCTCTTGTTGCGGAGCATGGGCGCTAGGCACGCGGGCTTCAGTAGTTGTGGCTCGCGGGCTCTAGAGCGCAGGCTCAGTAGTTGTGGCTCACGGGCTTAGTTGCTCCGCGGCATTTGGGATCTTCCTGGACCAGGGCTCGAACCCGTGTCCCCTGCATTGGCAGGCAGATTCTTAACCACTGCACCACCAGGGAAATCCCTAAAAATGAAAAAAATATTGGCGGTGTCCTGTCTAGTAGTGCTCCGATCCAGCTTACCAGCACCTTTCATTGTTTTTGAGTTATTATACAACTCTGTAAGTTATATAGAACTGATAATAACTCACATGATACTCGTCCATAGAAATGGGTATGAACTGGGCCCGGCAGGATGCAGTTATTGCCCTTGTGGATAGATTCAGTTTTGCATTGATATGTAAATTCATTTCAGCGTTTCTTATTGCCTATATTTGTGTGTTTCTCGGAATTCTCCTTTCAACATGTTTCTGGTTCCCTTGTGAATTACTGAGTTAAGTAAAAATCTTTGACACGCGTGTAGCGTCACCGTCTTTATTATTATTATCAGTTATGCTTCCCAGACTTGTTTCCCTGCTAGTGCAGAGGAGTTAAGAATGTTGAATAAAAACTTTTAGTTTTCAGCGGGAAGGGTATGGAAAGGGCCAGACAGGTCACTGAGTTGAGCCACGCAAGGCACTGTGACAGCAGATGTGTGCAGTTGAGGGAGTGCTGGGGCTGTGCCATATGGGAACCCAGGTAGGGTCATCGGTGACACTCAAACTGTACTTACGTCACCATGAAGGAAGATAATATATGGTGATCGTAGGTGGCTAAAGCCACAAGGAAAGCATGGGGCATCTCCCTGGAGCATCATTTTCTTCTTTTTTTTTAATTAAATATTTATTTATTTATTTATTTATTTATTTATGTGTTTGGCTGCATCGGGTCTTAGTTGTGGCACTCGAGCTCTAGAGCATGCGGGCTTAGTTGCCCTGCAGCATGTGGGATCTTAGTTCCCCAACCAGGGATCGAGCCCGCGTCCCCTGCACTGGAAGGTGGATTCTCTCAACCACTGGACCACCAGGGAAGTCCCTGGAGCATCACTTTCATGTGCTGCTAAGAAATTTAAAACATGATATTAAAATTAACAAGAAGGGAGTTCCCTGGTGGCCTAGTGGTTAGGATTCGGCACTGTCATCGCTGCGGCCCGGGTTTGATCCCTGGTCGGGGAACTGAGATCCCAGAAGCCACAGGGTGTGGTCAAAAAAAAAAAAAATCAATAAAATTAACAAGGAGAGGTTATTAAGATAAAAGAACAGGATTAGTAATAGCTTATGTTTATTGAGCATTTAGCCATGTCCTTGCTGGGTGTTTTCTATTTAGCAGCAGTAGTAATAATAATAATAAAGGGAGATATTCACATGACACCACATTCCAAGGACTGTTCTTATATGCCTTATATATACTGATTCATAATCCCTACAACACCCTATGAGATAGGTGCCATTAATAGCCTCTATATTTTATGAGGAAACTAAGCCTGGAGAGGTTCAGTAATGTGGTTGTGATCACAGTCAGTTAGTGGCAGAGCTGGGATTTGAACCCAAGTATTCTAGCTCCAGGGTCTGTGTTCTCAACTTCTATAAGATTCAACCTCTACCTGAACCTGAAGCCTCCAACAGTCCAGGGAGGTCAGTTCTATTATTATTCCCCTTTTACAGATGAGGAAACTGAGGCTTTGAGAGGTAAAACAAGTGGCCCAAGGCTCCCTGGGAACCAGGCGTGTTTGATCTAGTACCTGTGTTTCATGCCATTATGGAGTATGAGTCATGTGATTTATTTAGCGGTTTCTAAGAAATTCCATGCTTGTAGCTTCTGGCTGTGCTTCCAGGTCCTTGGGGTTCCTCAGAGGCGTCTGCAGCTCTGTGGGGTGGGAAGCATCTGAATCCTCTTCCTTCTCTGCCAGGCCCACCTGGGACCCCCTGATGCTCTCTCAGCCCCTCTGTTGTCCCCTCTCCACAGGGCAGCACAGACTATTTCTTGAGCAGCGGCGACAAGATTCGGTTCTTCTTTGAGAAAGGCGTCTTTGATGAGAAAGGTTTGGAACTGGGGCCCTAGAGGTGGGGGTGGCTGGACTCCAGTCCTTCCAGCTTGACCTGTCCCTTGTGCCACAGGAAATTTCCTGGTCCCTCCGGAGAAATCCATCAACAAAATTGGCCATGGTAAGCAGGGGCTGGAGAGAAACTGAGGTCTGAAGAGTTTGGGGGCCATCCCCCAAAGCACACGTTAAGGTAGTAGCCCAACAAATGGCATTTCTGGGTGCAGGGTCCTTCTTGGGCCCTGCTCTCCTGCATCTTACGAGGCTAATCACATGACACTGCCACTGTATCCCTGGGAAGAGGGGTCCATTTGAGCCCCCCGCCCCGTGCAGATGGGTGTGTGCAGGCTCCTCAACTCTCTCCTGCCGGGCCTGTGTATGATTCAGGCCCCAGGTATGTGGGGATTCTGGGTCCCATTGCTCCCTGAAGGCTTCTTAAGGAACACCAAACATGTTGACAAGGTCCCTGTTCCAAGACCCCTAAACCAAGCTAGGAAACCCTCTTTTTTTTCTTTTTTTTCAGGATCGTGCATTATAGTTATTTTGTAGGGAGTTCCCTGGCGGTCCAATGGTTAAGACTCCGTGCTCTCACTGCCGAGGGCCTGAGTTCGATCCCTGGTCAGGAAGCTAAAATCCCACAAGGCGCGTGATGTGGCAAGAAAAACAAAAACAAAAACAACCCTTATAATTTATCTTGTAGACTGATTTTTAAACATGAAGTTATATCATGGTAGCTTTGCTTTTTTTTACAAATTGTGGTAAAATACATATAATAGAAAATTTACCATCGTAACCATTTTGAAGTATACAATTCAGTGGCATTAAATACGTTCAACCCTCACTTTTTGTAATAACAACAGTAGTGAATAATGAGAAGAGTGACTGTTCTGTACCTGGCCCTGGGCTGTGCTCGCACACGCATTAGCCCATGGAGTCCTATGGCAGCCCAGGAGGCAGGGCTGATCCCATTGTACACAGGAGGAAACTAAGGCTTAAAGGAGAGAAATCGGTGCTCAGAGTCCGACAGAGCAAGCGGCAGTACCAAAACTGCTACCAAGTGATGGGTCCCTTGGAGTCCTTGGTCCTCTGGAGGGCGGCCAGTCAGGGCTAGAAGGTCAAGAATAAGGTCATAGGTCAGGTGAAGGCATCTGTGGGGCCCATTTCTCAGTTATAAGCAAGCAGAAAGCTTAATGCACAGAAAATAGGTGAGAATATCAAAGCGAGGCCTGACCCTGGGTGCCCAGGCCTAGGCGTGGGAGGGATGCATGGGGACTGGGGACTGACTCTTCAGCCCACCTCTGTCCCGCAGCTCTGCACGCCCATGACCCTGTCTTCAGGTGTGTCACACACTCCCCCAAGGTGCAGGTGAGCAGAGGTGTCGGTGAGGGTGGGCCGGTGGGCCATATGTGAGTGTGGGAGGGCTGGCCATGTGACCTCTGCCCCCTTCCAGGCTTTGGCCAGAAGTCTGGGCCTCCGGATGCCTGTGGTGGTGCAGAGCATGTATATCTTTAAGGTGAGCTCCCCGTCCTCCCCAGGCCTCCATTTACCCTCTGTAAAATGGGCACAGTGCTCATACCAAGCCCTTCCTTACAAGGGCCGCAAGCTGCCTCCCTGAGGAAGTATTATTAAGTTGGCGGGAGAACGTGAAAACCGGGTCTCCTCTGGTTAGAGTGTCTGGCACTTAGCTGGGGCTCAGTTAGGGTGCCGTGGAAGGAAAGGGGATCCCGGGGCTGCCTCCTCCCTTTGTTGGCTATTGAAATGCTCTGCTCCCAGCTTTCAAGGCCCAGCCCAGTGCCACCTCCTCCAGAAAGCCTTCCAATGCCCTTGGGAAGAGAGGACACATCTCTGATCCTGGAGCCCAGAGGCTTAATCGCTGGCCTGGGCCCCAGCCTCTCCCACTGCCCCTCACTTCTGCCTTGTGTTCTCGTTAGGGACGTGTGTGCTCAGACTGGGAGCTCCCTGCCAGACAGGGTGGCTTTTCTCTTTGCAGCCCTCCTGGGCCTGGCACATAGTAGGTGCTCGATAGCTGGGTGCTGACCTGGAAGCCTCGCTGATAAACACCTGTGGCGGGGGGAAGAGCATCCTACTCGGAGGACTCAGGGCAGCCCCTGCCCCTCCCCGCTCTCCCTGGCCTCACCCGGCCCCTCCTCTCTCCTGCAGCAACCTCACTTGGGCGGCGAAGGTGAGCCAAGAGCAGGCTGGGGGGCCAGCAAAGGCCCCGGCAGGAGATCTGGGACTTTAGTGGTTGTCAGGTCTCCAGAGGGAGGGAAGGCGCCTGCCAAGACGTCCGTAGACAAGAGCCTGGGCCAGCGGAGGAGAAGCCATCTTCTGCTGCTTCCTGAAAGAGTGGATGCGGGGGGTGGGGGGTGGGAGGGTGGAGGGGGGTGTCCTGGAGCCCTTGACCCAGTGGTTCCCAAACCTGGCAGCGACTCCTTGCTGGTTAAAAACACAGATTCCTGGGCCCCATTCCCTGAGATCTTGAGTCAGGAGGGTGGCAAGGTCCTGGGAATCTGTATTTTACCAAGTTCCCTGCAGGACTGATTCAGCATAGAAACTGCTGATCTGACTACAAAGCCCCTGGATACCCAGATACCCTTTCCAGCCTCCCTCATGGGTGATGATCCACTTCTCTCAAATACCTCCAGTGACAGAGGGCTCACCACCCGTACAGGCAGCTCTTCCTTTCCTGACATGAGCTCAAGTCATTCCCCTTGTGAGGCCCCTTCCTCCCCACCATCCAGCCTGAGGACAGTCTCCTGAAGGGATGGCCATCCTCTCCCTGAGCCTTCTCTGCTCAGTCCAGCACCCCCAGCTCCTTCAGCCATTACTCCTCCAAATGTTTTGGGGCCCCCACCATTAGGACACCTTCATCTGGACACTGTCTGGATTGTCAAAGTCTGACTTAAACTTTGGTGCTTAGAAAGCACACAGTTCCCCAGGAAGGGATGAGGCGAGACTAGCACCCTCTTGTTGTTACAGACTAAGGTCCTCTGTTCAGCGGTTCTCCATCCTGCCTGGGCCCCAGCATCACGCAGGGGATGTTTACAATGTGGATGCTGGGTCCGTTTCCCGCTTCACACCCAACTTCCAAGTCTTAGACCACTGGTGGCTTACACTGGACCATCTGGTGGCTGGAGGTGCTCTCGCTGGTTAAGGACGGCAGCTTGAGTTACCTGGCTGGAATTAAACGATAGCAGCTGCTTTTCAGGCAGCGATTACAACGTCAGGCCCTGTGCTAAGCACTCTTCTACGTTGTCTCAGAATCCTCCAGCAGCCTCGTGAGCTTAGGTTATCGTTGGGGCTGCTTTATGGTTTAGGAAATTGAAGCTTGAGAGGTGAAATCTCTTGCCCAGAGTCTCCGGGCCAGGAAGCGGTGAGATTCTAACTACTCATGGGAAGGCTGGGCCTGGAGGGCCCTGGGAGGACCACGGAGTGAGTAGAAACGAGGCCAAGGTGGGGTGAGGCCAGGCGCCTCATGCCCAGGCGGGCCTGCTGCAGTCTCCCCTCACCAGGACGCCTCCTTCCTGTATACGGAGCCTCTGGGCCGGGTGCTGGGCGTGTGGATTGCTTTGGAAGATGCCACGCTGGAGAATGGCTGCCTCTGGTTCATCCCTGGCTCCCACACAGGTGAGGCCACCTGCCTCTCCCTGCCCACTCGTCCCCACCCCCCACAGGGGAGGGACCCCGAATAAAGAGAGGCTAAAGTCCCCACCTTGGCCCGCAGGTGGAGTGTCGAGAAGGATGGTCCGGGCCCCTGCTGGCTCGGCGCCTGGCACCAGCTTCCTTGGGACCGAGCCAGCCCGGGATAACAGCCTCTTTGTGCCCACACCGGTGCGGAGAGGTAGGGGGTGTGCAGAGGGGCCCGGAGGCCATGCCTGGGGGTCTGTGCTTGCTCTGACCAGCCAGCTCACCTGAGGGCTGGCAAGTCACCGCATGAGGGAAGGTAGGGCTGGGTGGGCACTGGGAGGTCTGAAAGGTGTGTGGTTGACAGCAGGGTCTCCCAGATCAGGCTGGAATCCAGACCCTGCTACTTCCCAGCTGTCTCTGTGAGCAAATGACTGAACCTCTCTGAGCCTCAGTTTCCCCAAACATAAAGTAGGGAAGCCAGTGAGATGTCATATGTAAGATGGTGCACCACAAGTGCTCACAAATCCTGGCTGTCAGCACACCCTTCCTTTTAGAAAAGGGAAACTGAGCCCCAACTCTGCATTCCCGGCTGAGGCCCCAGCTGGCTGGCATGGGACAGAGAGCTTCTGTCTGGTTCTGCAAATGCCATGGAGGTGGATGCCCTTGCTGAGGCTTGCCAAGGGCACGGGCCACAGCGGAAGGGACTTGACCCCAGGGGAACCCATGTCCAACAGCACAGCCTCCGATGCTGGGGCAGACTCCAGGCCCCTGAGCGTCCGGGGATGGGAATGGGGATGAATAGCCCACGACACCGCTTAAGGGAGGGGGTGCCCACCATGTCCCTTCCTGCCTCGAGTGCGCTTTTGACTCGCTGTGTCCCTGCCAGGGGCCCTCATCCTAATCCACGGAGAAGTGGTGCACAAAAGTGAGCAGAATTTCTCCGACTGCTCACGCCAGGCCTATACTTTCCACCTCATGGAGGCTGCTGGCACGGTCTGGAGCCCAGATAACTGGTAGGTGGCAGGGTGTGTGTGGGCCCCAGACAGCTCCCGAAGAGGTCCTGGAGGCTGGGAGCAGTGCTACTAGCACCTCGAGGTCCTCTCCCCATCCTCTGCAGGCTCCAGCCGACAGCTGAGCTGCCCTTTCCCCCACTGTACACCTAAAGGCCCTCTGAGGGCAGGGACGCCACCCCCTCTCGGGAGAAGCTGTGGGCCACCAACGCCAGCGCCTCAACCTACCGCCCAGCTGCAACGGGGAATTCGCATCTCTCCTCCAGGGCTTTCCTTCTGCTGGTGTCTGTGCAGACAGGCAGGCAGGAGCAGAAGTCTGGGCTGGATGCCTTCCCCGAGATCTGTCTCTGTCTGTCCCGACCCCAACACAACCTCCCCCTAGAGGCAGCCTCACGGCCATGAAAGGGTTCTGGCTGCTTCTCTGCCGGCTTCTCACTCGTAGTCTCCCCTCTCACATGGAACTCTTGGTCATTACGGTGGGAGACACTGAATAAAAAAGACTTCCAAATGCAGCATCTTGATCCTTCTTTCCCAAGCAGCCTTCCTCTCAAGATGGGAACCCTGCTGAAAATCATCGCAGGTAGCCCAGCCCTGCCCGGTGAGGTATGCACGGTGTTAATAACAGTAAGTGACATTTAGTGGGCATTCATGGTGCCAAGAGCTTTCTGTGCTTTATCACTGGATCCTCACCCCTTTCAGGTAGGTGCTGTTTACAGATGAGGGAGCTGACACATGGGAAGGTTAAGTGACCTGCCCAAGTCCCACAGCTGTTCAGGCGTTTGGCGAGGTCAGCCGGATCCGGAGCCTGTGCTTCTAACCTCTATGCTCCCAGTTCTCCTTTCCTGGGGAGGGAAAAAACCAGAGCCTGGAATCTAGCCTGAGATTCTGGTCCTGGCTCTGTGACCAACTCGATTTCCGGCCTCAGGCCAGGCCCTTCTCTCTGGGCCCATTTGGCCACCTGCACCATCATGGGGCCGGACGAGGGCCTCCACAGGTCACTCCTGTTTGGACATGCTTGGCAGGCACCCAGAGCTGCAGGAACAACTACCAAATCTGAAACCTGCCTGGCGGGGGTCTGCTCAGAGGTTGCAAACTGGGGGCCACCAGCCGATTTCACAATGCAGAATTGTTTTGTCTGGGCCTCGGCATTTTAAAACAAACGAACAAAAAACCCACAACATTTTAAAATTGGGAGATTTCACGTAACAATTCAGGTTTCCAAGCTTCTTTGAATGAGCAGGTCAACAGCCCGGGGGCCTGTGGTCTAGCCTACATACCACTGGCTGGAGCTGCCTTCTTACAGGCACACGTGCTCTCCACTTCCCTTCCCTGTCCTCCTTCATTGCATTACCTGCCTGGCCTCAGCGGCCTTATGATTTTACGACCTTGACTTCCAACCCCCACTCTGTATGGGAACAAACCACCCAGGGAGTCAGTGGGGCAAAGCCAGCACTCATATACACTACACCCTAACATGGTGTTGCCTCCTTCAGCGAGCAGTCACGGGGAGCCTGAGCCAAGGGAAGGGTTTGTTAAGGCTCCTTTGAGCCCGAAACCAATGTCGTAATACTCTCCGAGGGAAAGGGCTTGGCAGTGACGCTCAGGCAGAAGCAAGCTCCCAGAGCTGGGCTCCTGGCTTCCGGCCTTGGTGGGCCCAAGTTCTCACCTCTTCCTGCCTAGGCCCCTCCCTGTCAGGCTGGTGGCAAGTGGGGAGAACCCGGTCCAGCCTTGAGAAACCTGCTGTGCTATCTTCTCACCGATGGGAAACGTTCATCCATACAGCGAAGGTCTGCCGAGTTCCTGCTATGTGCCAGGCTGTGCTGGCACTGGGGGATGCGGTGGGGAACCAGGGAGAGCTGGACTCTGCCCTCCCAGAGAGCAAGGCTGAAGCGTGCACTGCCCCCTCCCCCCGCCCCGGAAGAGCGATCCTGAACTCTCAGTAAACTTCACCACACCTTGCCTCTAATTTCTCGCCAAGAGACCAGCACAGGTGTGGACGTGACTGGAGGGTGAGAGGTCTCAGGAGGGACCCCCTGACAAGGACCCTGTGCTGTCCAGCCTGTCCTTCATCAGCACCACTCGGCCAGGCAGCAGAGGCCTTGAGGCAGGGTGGGGTTGGCTGAAACAGGTAGGTGGCCCAGGACGGATCCTCTTCCTCCAGCCCTTCCAGGGATGTAACAAACAGATCCCATCTCTCCCCTTCAGCTCTTCCTAGCCCAAATGGGAGAAACCACATGCACTTGGCTATTTTCCTCTCGTAGTCTCCTCTGAATGAAGCCAGGGGAGTAGGGTCACTCTGGTCTCCAAGTACAACCCATATAACCCTTTGGTTTGCCTGGCTTTTTGCTGAGATGAGGACTGGCCTTGGGTAACAATGACACTTTCCCTCACTTACGTGACACTTCCGCACTTAAGTGCAGGCTCTGGGCTGGTCACCTCACACACGTCACTTCGCCAGAACCTCACGACACCCCGTGAGGTGCAGGCTCTTATTATTCCCATCTTGCAGACGTGAGAATTGAGGCCCAGGGTGATTAAGCAACTCACACAGTTAAGAAGTGGTTCAGCCAAGGATTCTGACCAGATGAGTCTGACACCAGAACCTGAAGTGTTAACCACTCTGCCCTACGGCCTCCAGTGTCCACTCCGGCCCCCCCGAGGACTGCAAGGTGAGGGGGGGCCCTATGGCGCACTCAAGCTCTTTGAGCTGTTGCACTATCGGTTAAGCCTTTTTGCTTTTTAAAATATCAGGAAAACTAAACCCGGGAGTGCTTTGATTTTTATTTTAAATCTCAATCAACTGAAAAATTAAATCTGCTTCTCCCCTCCTGGCTCTTCAAGCCCAAGTGGCTGGCTGCCGTGGGGACCATTTGTCTTCCCCATGTCCCTGTTTCCTTCGTGGCTGCTGCACAGCACCTAGGCCATCAGCAATATCAGGAGGTAGAGAGGCAAAAGGAGATTGTCTATCTGCGTAGTGTATGCTTCTAGGAGGGACACGGTGCTGATGGACCCCAAAATCCAAGCATAACTGTAGTTTAAGTCCACTCCACTGTCGAAGATTAAGATCAGAGCTACAGAAATGATCTGGGCAAATATAGATGTCATGGTCCCCTCAAAAGTCTTTTTAGTTCCAGGCCAGCGGATCTCCCCCATGGTGCTGCCGAATATGGAGGCCACAGTGTCGCCCACACCAACGGCCAGGACTCCTGCATAGGGGACTAGGGCCCTGGCTCCCCCTAGGCTACCCTTCTGTGTGCAGGGTCTGGGGACTAACCAAATGGGAAGAGACATGCCTAGGAGCAGGTAGATGTGGGTCAGGATGAGCGGTCCACTGTCTCGTTCGTCCAGGAAGAGGGACAGGAGGCTTCGCAGAGTGTGGCCCAGGGGCTTGATGCGGAAGTAGCGCACATACTCTAGGAAGATGAAGACCGCCAGACATACGGTGGCGGCCACGTAGAGCAGTGGCCGGTCCAAGATGATACCTGGGATGTAGGTGGCTACCACAATGAAGTGGAAATACTTCCGAGCAATGGTGGGGGCCTGGTGCTTCTTGGACTCGGAAGATGACCGCTTGGCATTCTGGTACAGCACCACCAGGCAGGCTAAGGTGGCCAGCAGAGACCAGTAGGCTAGGAGGTAGACTCGGGTCTCTGTCTGGAAGAGGAATTGAAAAAGCCACAGCAGGGGGTTCCTGCGGATGAGCCGGTGCAGCCAGGGCAGGACCACGCCGAGGCCCAGTACACAGGTCATGAGGTGGAAGAAGATGGAAGAGGCCCAGGTGCCTGAGTCCATGAAAACAAAGAGGGTGCTGAAGAAGATGCCCATGAGCACCATCCCTACCACCACTACCAGCAGGAAGAAGTCCAAGGGGTCCCCCTGGCTTTCCACCACAGTCAGAGAGCGCTTGATGAGCTGGTTGAGCACGAAGCTGATGCCACCCAGTACCAGCAGAGCCTCTCCAGGGGTGAAGCAGCGGGGCAGCAGATACAGCAGGATCATGTTGAGGTAGACAAAGATCAACAGGACCTCCAGGACCTCGATCACCTCGCCTACACTCAGCGAGTGCTTCAGGATATAAATGATGACACCTCCAGCCAAGCCCGAGATGACACAGGTGTTGGTGGGCACTGGGCGAGTGATGCCCAGTGCCAGTACCGATGAGAAGAGGGCCACTGCCATGCCAGTGGCCGCCACCACAATTCCAAACCGCTCGAAGTATGGGTTCCCCGCAGCCTGGCAGCGCTCCTTCATAACCAGCCCGAGCAAAGGCATGACCACCGAGGCGGGCAGTAGGCCACTGTTTGCGGACATTCGAAACTGGAAGACAGCGCTTCCCTGCTGTAGCAGCCGGTCCCACTTGTATTGGACGTAGAAGGCCTGCACCGCGAGGGCCACGGCGCACCACGAGTATCGATCCCACACGGCTGCGTGGATGCTCAGCACCACTACGAACACCACTGCCGCCTCTGCCAGCACCGAACCGCTCAGCGGAGCCCCAGGCCCAGGGGCCGGGGAAGCGCACTCTCGGGTCATGTCTTTAGACCTGAGACTCCGGGTAAACTGGGGTGACCAGGAACGCCCTGGACTCTGGGCCCTTTAATCCCCGCCAGGCAGAGAGCGGTAGCTTCGCCCAGCCAGCACCTTCTCAATCCGTTCTCCAGCTGCGAGAAGGGAAGCTCTACTGTAGGCCACTCTCTGACGCCTGGGAGCTGGCGTCGGGCTACCCTCCACCGCCTCACACCTATGGCGTAGACGTCGACCCTCGGCCGCCTCCCTCACAGCCTCGGCCGCCCTAGCCCGGAGTTCCTCACCTCTCTGGGAATCGCCATGTTGGCCCCGCCCCGGCGTCACGTGACGAAAAGCCCCGTCCACGCCCTGGAGGCGAGTGATCACGTGGGCGTGGCGTCTGGGGGCGGGGTTGGAGCGCGCGCGCGCGCGAAGATGGCGGCGGCCGCCGGCGATCCGTGTGTGAGGTGCGGAGCGGGCCGAGTCGGCGGGTGTGG